CACAGGGCTCCTTCCTGGATTTCAAGTTTTGTTATTAGGTTTTTCATTTTATGAGCAACATAAACTTTATGGCACAGATCTCAAATCTCACCATCATGATGTCTTTACATGACTCCATTGAGGTAGTTACGTCACACGGATCAAAACAGAAGAGTCCGAAAGGCCTGCCTGCTCCTGCCCCCTCGGCTCCACACCTCCACTGCACTGGTTTCTGTCTCTGGGCCTGGTGCACATGGGCTCTATTAGAATGTCCCCTTGGTGCTTAGCTTCCTTCCTGTGGAATGTCCCCAGGTACAGTCACGTGGTGGCTTGAACCCGTAGTGTATCCTGACTAAGATGCAGCCTTGAATAAGATCTGGACCTGCCAAGTGTGCTTTACCTGGGCGGTGGGGAGGGAGGGGCATGAGTTCAAGGTCAACCTGACTACTTAGCGAGACCGTGTCTAAAAAAAAAAAAAAAAAAAAAAGAATTAGAAAGATGGCAGATAAATTTATAGGTTAAGTGATGTCAGATATATAGGTAGACAGACAGACAGAAAGACAAACAAATAGATAAAATTTATAGGTTGTTTGATGATGATAGAATAAATCACTTTCCACAAGGCAGTCAGCCCCAGCGGTGCTATGCTCACCAGTGACCACCAGGCGGCAGTGTGACCACAAACTGGCCTAGCTTAGCTATGGGCCTAGGCGCCAGCAGTAGAATGAACCTGGCCTTGACAGGATTTTGCAGTCACAGAGCCGCACTACCCAAGAGTTAACAGAAGGGCGCCTTTGTCAGTGGCCCCGTCTCAGACACGCTGCCTCTGGAGACAACAGGAATGGTGGGCCTACAGCAACACCAACTTAAACGTGGACTCTTCTTTTCCACGGTAAAATTGGTCATCGTGTTTAGATTGTTCCGAGAAATGCTATTTATTTTATTTTTGTTTGGGAGGTTTGTTTTGGTGTTGGTTCCCTGAGACAGTCTCTGACCTCCAACTTGCCACGCTGCAGAGGCTGGCCTTGAAGTCCTGATCCTCCTGCCTCCACCTCCCAAGTGTTCCCACGTGCACCACCGCACCTGGAGGCTCATTCTCGAATGGTGGTTAAGTCAGCTTCGATCAGACACTGGCTCTAAACATCCACGTTAGACCAGGGATGGTGGCACAGGCCTGTCCTGTGTTTGAGGCCAAACTAAGCTACAGACTGAGTCCTTGTCTCAAGACTGGGACCAAAGACCAAAATTCAGCGCCTGTGGTGAGAAATGGGCACTAAGCCTCTTCTGACAGAAGGCTGAGTATTCTAGTCACGGTGAGGGGAAAGGGGGTGTGAGGGAGAGAGAGATAGGGAGACAGAGGAAGAGAGGGAAAGGGGGGAGAGGAAGGGAGACAGGAAGGGGGGAGGGAGGGACAAAAGAAGAGGGGGAGAAAGAGAGGAGAGATAGAGAATATTAGCCTGTGAACAGCGGCTGTTCAGATGAGCAGAAGGCCCGGCATGGGAGTCTAGGTTGGACCTCCCAGTTGTGAGGTCAGTGGCGGCCATGGCACCTGAGCCTCAGTTTGCTTCTTGTAAATTTAAAGTCCTTTGATTTTATCCGCCATGGCTTGTTCAAAACCAGTGTCTCCCAAATGACAGTCTGTGATACTGATTCAACAGTGAGGCTGGAAAACGAGGACCGTGTGGCCCCGACTGGAAGGTTGGGAGATGCAGAAGCTTAAAGTGGGGCCTCCGGGGAGGAAAGGGGTCGGCCATGAGCTTCACTTTCCACCTGCTCTCTGTTTCCTGACCAGCCACCTCACATTCCCGCCGCCATTCTTCGCCACCCTGTGGATTGCATCCCTCCTCAAACTGAGCCAAAATGAGCCCCCTCCTCGGGTCCCTTCTTGTCAGTCACAGGAGGTAGATGTGACATCCTGTACTTAAGTATGAGTGCCATTCATGTTCAATGATGTTTTTTTGTTTGAGACAAGGTCTCTCTGTAGCTTTGGAGTCTGTCCTGGAACTAGCTTTTGTAGACCAGGCTGGCCTCGAACTCACAGAGATCCACCTATCTCCCAGTGCTGGGATTAAAGGCGTGCGCCACCACTGCCAGGCTCGTGTTCAACAATGGACTGTGCCGTTCTCCCTCACTCTTTCCTTCAGAGCTGGGGATCTCCATGTGTTGCTTGGGCTGACTTGAACTCCGGGGCTCAAGCAATCCTCCTGCCTCGATCTCTTGCCTGAGGCACGCCCCTGCACGCCTGGCTGCAGCACACACGCACTTCTACCATGGAGGATAGCTAGGCAGTTTAAAAACTGCTGCTCATGTAGGACTATGCATGCTTCTGGGAAACAGGACTACGCATGCTTCTGGGAAACAGGGGCTCCCGTCACCCCATTTGAGAGCTGAGGACACTGAGGCTTGAGAGTTGAAGTCTCTCCCACAGTGGGAACCGGAGCTCACTTTGCCCCAAGATCCACCTCAGCCTCAAACTGTCATTCCTCTCCAGAGGGGATGTGTCAAGAGCTCAGCCCTGTGGCTGGCATACAGAGGTGTTTAATAAGTGTTAGAAGTGGGTTTGTGGTTGCAGCTCTTCCCTGGCTGTGCCAAGGAAGCTAAGGGCTGAAGCAGCTTGGGTTCCTGCGGCCCCACATGCTGGAGAGCTGCAGAGCCGCACACTGCCTCACAGAACACATAAGTCCCATTACTCTACTCCTTTTTCTTTTTTCCAAAAATTGATCCCATTATATAGAAAGCTTAGCATATTTACTTCAAAACTCTGAACCAGGCATAATAAAGCACACCTTTAATCCCAGCACTCGTGAGGCAGAGGCCAGCAGATCTCTGTGAGTTCAAGGCCAGCAACACAAGAGAAACCCTTTCTAGAAAAACAAAACAAAAACAAAAGAAAAAAAAATTGTTGCCTGAGGGACCAGGAACTGATGGATCACTGTGTAAAGGTACTTGTGGCCAAACTTGATGACCTGGGTTCAGCCTCTGGGATCACATGGAAAGAGGATGTTTCTTTCCATGTGAAAAAAAAGTTGTCCCGTTACCTCTGCATGCACACTAGGGCAGTCACACACACAAACACACATATAGCAAATAATTGTTATAAGAGATGTCCAGGTGAGGGGGCTGGAGAGGCGACTCAGTGGTTAAAAGCACTGTCTCTTCTTCCAGAGGTCCCGAGTTCAATTCCAAGCAACCACACAGTGACTCACAACCATCTGTAATGGGATCTGATGTCTTCTGGATTGCAGGCATACATGCAGACAGAGCACTCACACATAAAATAAAAAAAAAAAAAATGTGCCATCATCGGGCATGATTCCAACAATTGGAGCCACCTAGAACGTGATATATGTGGTTGATTTGTTTCCAGTGAGGATGCTATTTCTCTGGGGACAGACCAATCATATTTCGGTCATTACTGTGTGCTCCATGCTTGGCTTGACAAACTGCAGAGCTGGAATGAACTCTTTCCACCCACTTTTCTGTCCCCAGTCTGTGGGCTGCAGTTCTGCACACGGCCACCAGGTGGCGAGAGCACTGGATTGCACTAACCACAGTTTGGCTAGCTAACCTCTGCCCCTTGCTAACAGGAAGGAAGGTTTGTGGCCACTGTGCATTCAGCCCTTCATGACTGTTTCTCATGCTCAGATTCAGAGACTGGGCACCTGAAAATCTTAACCAGGATGTTGCTCCAATAAGAAGCACTGTGACACACAGGGTCCACGGCACCTCAAACACCCTCTGCCCACTCCCAGGTCACAAGAAGCCTGCAGCTGTGTCCCCACCTACCTGCCACACACTGGCCCTCTGGGCTGCAACTCGGGACAGACAGTGACAACTGTCCACATGATAGAGTAAAAGAATGAGGGCCTTTCATCCGAAGTGAAACCAGGGGACCGAAGGTGTGTCAAGTGCTCCGTGACACTGAGGGACACCCGAGGACACTGGACAAGCAGGGTGGCTGGAAGGGTCTTTATACACGAACCCCTTCAAATCTTCAAGCAGAAGGCATGTGACTGCACTTGGGAGTTGAATAAATGATAAAAATCAAGATCCACATCATTCATTAATTCACTTTTATTTGAGACAGGGTCCCATGTAGTTCAGGCTGGTCTCGAACTCATTACCTAGCCAAGGGTGACTTTGATGTTGTGGTTCTCCTGCCTGCCCCTCCCAAGCACTGGGATTGCAGGCATGTGCTACCACCCCTAGTTTTATGGAGTGCTGGGGGCGCAAACTCATGGCCTTGTGCGCGCTAGGCAAGCACCCTTCCAATTGAGCCCTAGTCCCGGCCCTAAATTTCATATTAAAAAAAACCACCATTTTTCTACCCAGGAGTAGGCAAGTCAGTTCTTCAAGTCTTTTCCTCTGTGGAAGGCTTGAGGAATGGGGAATAAGGAGCAAGGAGAGAAGGGGCCAGAAGCTGTTTTCTGAAGGTGCCCCTCAACAACCCTTTAACACCTGAGGATACGGGGGGGGGAACAGCATCAACCCTCCCCTTCAGAACTCACACCCCATTGGGACACACAACTGAGCATCTGCGCATACATGCACACACAGGCACCGTGTGTGCACACATGTGCCCCAGGCCACAGATACAGCTCCTACACAGAAAACCACAGGAAACTTCAGCCTTCCAATAGGGACCATCTGGCCTAGAACCAAAGGCTGATGGACCGCTTGCTCCCAGCCTGGCCCTGGAGATCACTCCCAGAGCCTGGTGGTCCAGCCCTCTGCCTCAGGAAGAATGCAGCTACCCTAGTGGGGAAGAAAGTTCCTCCCCAGGCCACTCCAGTAGGGTGCCCAGGACCTCAGGGGAACCTTCCACTTGTGCTTGGCCATTCAAAGCTGGCACAGCCACACCCTGACCCATGGGAGACTGTCACAATCAAACTGTTTTGTCAAAAGTTTAATTTAAAAAAAAAAAGAAAGGTGAAGAATCTGAAAAAACTGGGACATTGAGGAGAACCCAAAAGATTGTAACCGCGAGAGACCACTGGCTCAGTCATGAAGAAACACCATCATCAAAAAAGATATTTAAGTTTAATACAAATTTTATACAAAGAAAATGTGAAAAAATACTCCCATATGCTAAAAGCAGTTACGCTTCCCAAATAAGGCCAGCTAGGCTAGATTGTTTTTTTTGTTTTGTTTTTTGACAACTGCAATTCACGAATGTTCTTTCTCTCCTGCTCTCCTCCGGCATTTCTTCCTTTCTTCTCTAGTGGGGTAAACTAGCTGGACGATGCACAGCTTGCGTTCTCTTAGCAACAATGAAGAGAAAGTAAACGAAGACTAAAATGTACAACGGAATGTACTGGAATGATATACAATTAATTTTTCTCATATACACACATCGCCTGTTGCTTCGATCGATGCTCGTTTTACACAACATACAAAATGGGAACCTACAGCAGACGTAGCGTTAACGGGACAGCATGACTGGTCCTGGCTTTCTCTCACACTGCCTGTGTTTCATGCTTACATAAAAACGTAGAACTCCAGCATATAAATAATACATACATGCTCCATCCGCGGGCTCACATCTCCTCACCGTGCACCTTGCTTTTGGGTCCTTGCTATGAGACGTGTTATCTCCTCACAAACCTGTGTGAGTGTTTATGGAAAGCGCTTGGCAGCGAGAAGGGGCATCCCCACGTGAATGCCGTCTGCATCCACAATGGAGCAGGGACTGCTCATGGGGACCTTGCATACACAGCAGGCTGCTTTGCCCCTTGGGGAACCATAGCTGAAATCACAAACACACACGCTTCTCTCTGTGTCCTTCGAGCCCAGCGAGCTTGTGTTTCATAACATCGTCTTGTAGGGTCTGCGAGGGGCCGATGGCTTGGTGTGGCGGGTCCAGGACAGCACAGCCTGAGAGCCCCGACCGCGGTGTGCTGCAGAGCGACAGTGGCTACCCCCCCTCCAACCCCTGGGTATCCAAGGAGGAGGACCTGTGTGAGAATAGCCATTCCTGGGCCCAGCCCTGCCACCACAGTGACACCAGAGAGCTAACTAGCCAGCCCTCTGGATTAGCAAAACATTCTTTTCATTGTAGATTTCTTTTATATATAACTTGTTTTTCTTTTTTTTCTTATAAGTTAAGGTCAGTATAGATATGAAAAAGGAAGGTAGGCTAGGTCAGTGACGTCACAAAGTGTACCTACTTACACCTAAAGTGTTGGGCTCACGAGGTCCAGCAGTCCCAGCCAAGGCCCATGCTGGGATGGAGTCAAGTCGCTGCCCTGCAGCCAAGCCCACGGGCAGAGCCTGAGTGTTGGGAATTTGAAAGGTGGCTGTTCTCCAGTTTCTGTTGCTTCCTGTTGTTTGGGTTTGTTTCCCCCCACAGGGAGGTATATCCTGGCTCACAATGCACCCTAGTCCCAGAAGGTGTCTAACCGAGACTCCCGAGACTCTTTGGGCATGAGGTTCTTGGTGCTGGTCCCTGCACTGTGCTCAGAGCGGGCTGACCCTCGCTTCTCCTCACTGCTGCTCCACAAACCGGTCTTGCTGCTCCGGGAATGGTCTGTGGAGGAAAGACAGCAAGCTCAATTCCCCTGCCCACCTCCCCTCAACTCATCCCGCAGTTGGGAGCCACCTCCCTCCCTCCAGCTGTACAAGCACCATGGCTGCACCACAGCTACCTTGATATCCTTATCTGTAGGTATACAGAACAGAGGGACAGCTGATTTTTAGGCTTCAACCACGGCTAACTGGAAGACCAGCAGGGTGGTACGTGGTACGCTTCCAGAGTGGTTAGTGAGCGGTGGTGTCGCACTGACGAGGAATCCCTGCCCTTGTGAAGTGACTGAATGATACCACAGGGCCCATGCACTCTTAAAACCTGGCACATGGTCTACCGATGTTCACAGGACTCTTAGTTAATTTTAGAAGACTCACATTCAAACCAGGAAGAGATGGTAAAAGAGAAGAAATGAGGACCAGATGAGAAGGCTAAGCCTACCTGGATACGGACCCCCACAGACTCCCAGTAAGGATCGTGCTGGGGGGCAGTGACCGAAACAGACCCCAACTGACACCCGGGATGGCTTTGAGGACATACAGGCATCAAGCTAGGTAGTGGCTGAGGAAGCAAAGAGGAAGCTAAAGGAAGAGGACAATGGCCCCAATCCGTGGGCAGCGCTGTGGCTGCGATGACAGCCTTAATGGCTGTCCACTAAGAACCCTAACTGCTTAGACCATCACTGAGCTCCAGATTCTCCAACTCTCCGGAGCTTTGGAGTGTCAAGATGGCAGGGGGCCAGTGAGGAAGGCTGTTGCTGCCCCTAAGGGACGGCACTTTGTCACAAAGCCTGTGCAGAGAAGGTTCCAGTTGTTTTTATATTCAGCCAGAAGGGGGCAGTGTTCTAACAGTCAAAGGCAATTCGAACCCGCCCTCTAAGGTGAGCTCCTGCTCTGGGCAGTTACACTATAATCTTCCAGGATGTCTTTGAGGGAGGGACTGCCACAGCTGTAGTCACACACCACCAAGTCCTTCCGGCTCTGGGGAGAGCCAAGATCAGCGGGCACACTGAAGAAACAGAACTCAAGATCCCAGAGTCTGTAGGTCCGAGCCTCAAGTGGCCTGGGTGCAGGATGCTGGCTGACAAGGTCGACTGTGGCAGTGGAGATGCGGTATCCGGTTAAGACAAAACAAAGTCCCCGAAAAGCAAACCCTACACTGTCCTACGGCAGCTTGCAAAGGCAGTGAGAGGTACAGAAGACAGGAAGACTTTGACAAGACTCAAAGAACAGGACACGCCCACGAAGACACACACAGACACATGACGAGGCTTCTGCATGCCAGGAATGACTCCCCTGCAGCAGCTGCCCCGAGACAGCGTCATACTTACACTTCTGGGCTGGGTAGTTGGGGTGCGGCTGGTGGTCTGTGGTGGTTGGGGTATAGGCAGGCTGCTTGTCACACCTCTTGCTAACTGAAGAAGAGCACAGGCACCCTTAGAGTCTGTCACCGCTCAAACTCCACACAACCCCAGGGGCTGACAGCCGTGGTCACTGGCGGGGTAGCTGGCTAGCTGTTCCTTCACGTGCGCCACTACACTAGATGTGCCCGCCGGTGGCTGGGGCTTTTGAATATGTGTGCAAGCCACAAACAGGGTCTCCGGACACAGCACCGCAGGGAGGAAGTAGACACACAGGGACATAAAAGCGACCCCATATTTTGCAAGCCACAGATTCTCTGGATTTTGAGAGCAAAACTCTCCGAACCGTAAGCTCCGCCAAGAGCCCGATTCAAGCAGGGAAACTGAGGCTGAGTGGAGACGCACGAGGGTGGCAGACACCACACAGTAGAGCAGAGGATGGACTGGTTATCTGTAAAGAACAGGAGGCTGGAAGACGTGCCACTCTAAGGACAACAGGGGACAGCAGCCAGGAGGGACTAGCTGACTAAACCTAGACCACAATAAAAGGACATCCACAAACCACATCCTCAGGAAAGCCAAGTGTACTGCTACACACCTGTCATCCCAACCCTCAGGATGCCGAGGCAGGAGGAGCCGAGGCAGGAGGAACATGACTTTGAGGCCAGCCTCGGCTCCTCAGCAAGTGGAAGGAGCGTGTACGCTAACGAATATCCTGAGGGTTTAGTAGGGGAAATGGAAGGCAGCTATGCTCACCACGATGCAGGGGGAAGTGGAGCCAAGAGAAAGAAGGGGAGGAAGTGCAAGTGTCACCACAGCGGGCCACATGCCTAGGCGGTGAGTGACATCACAGTCACTGCAAACGGAACCGTGCGATGGCAACTTCTCACACTCGGAGGTGAGAAAGGACAGCCAAGTGTGCCTGCTCTCAGTCTGGGTACCAGCAGGGTAGCCAGCATGGACGTGATGGAGTGATAGGAAGAAGGTGAGCGGCCAAGAAAAGACGGCCTCTTCTGAGACTGGGAGTAGGTAGGCTCACCCAGCCAGGGATGGTAGGGCCACAGACAGCAATGATCTCAGAAATCAGGAAGCGGGAGAGGAAGCCCACAGATAAAGTCTAAAGACAGGCCAGAATGCCGGTCTGCAGAAGTCCCAAAGGGCCAGCGCGGCAGTGGAGCGGGGTAGAAGACACTTTCCAGCTCTAGTCTAGTCTCTGTGCTCACATTCAAGGACATTCTGCTTAAAACTCTTTGAGTACAAACTGCTGCTGAGATTTGTCTCCATGGTTTGCCCAGCATGCATGAGACCCTGAACTCAATCCCCAATACTACCCAAAAGGCCATCAAGTCTAAAGGACAAACAGAAACCCATGTCCACCTACTAGGGAAGCCAGTGCACCTCCTAACATCTCCGTCCCAACAGACCCCTCCATGCCCACACTGAGGCCAGATGGAAGACACACAGCTCAGGACCACTTCCTTCCTCCCTCCTCCAAGATACGTGTTCGGCAGCAACTCCAGGACCTAGAGCTGGCACTAACTGATGTGTCAAGAGTGAGGAGCAGAGTCTGCTGAGGTGGCTCAGAGGTTAAGAGCACTGACGGTTCTTCTAGCGGTTTTGAGTTCAATTCCCAACAATGCACGTGGCTCTGTTTGGTCTGTGACTTGGCACAGCTGTCAAGGAGCCCACAGCCTCCTGCGAAAAACTGTGGCTGCCCTGGCCTCGAAAGCAGAGCATAGGACACTCGGGGGAGGAATCCTCTAGCAGATCCCCAGCTGGGCCCCAAGGTCACCCCTTTCACTTCACGGTTCTAACCCCCTCACAGCACCTCAGAGTCCCAACTCCAATCCTCTTTATCTTAATTCAATGGGCTTATTTGTGTGTTTATATTTGAGACAGCTTCACTCTGTAGACCAGGCTGGCCTCGACCTCACAGATTATCTGTCTGCTTCTGCCTCCTGAGTGCTGGGATTAGAGGCGTGAGCCACCATGACTCCTTTTAATTTCACTTTATTTTAACCATCACCACTAAAAAGTAGAAGATCCATTAAGGCACCTCTTCAAACACGACTTTAAAAGTGTTCCATACTAAGACACCAAACAGCTAGAACACCGTCCAGTTTGTCTTTGTGAAGAGCAGAACTCAGGGCAGGCAAGGCGGTACAGGCCCATTACCCCAGCACCCAGGAGGCTGAGGCAGGAGGATCACGATGATTTTGATGTTAATGACACCGCGGGATGACAGAGCCCTCTGAGCTCGGCAACAGGAGGAGCTGCAGGAGATATTGGGAGGAGGGGCTGCTTTGTCCACCAGCAGTCTTCACTTCTATCATATCCCAAATGTGCAAGTTTTTTTTTAAAAAAAGCGCAGGCCATTAATCCCAGCACTCAGGAGGCAGAGGCAGGCAGATCTCTGAGTTCAAGGCTACCCTGGTTTACAGAGCTAGTCCTAGGACAGCCAGGGTGGCACAAAGAAACGTTACCTCAAAAAGAAAAAAAAAAAACAAAACCCAAACCAACGAAGTTAGTGAGTTTATATCTTCCTCCAACTCCTCCAAGCCACCTCCTTGAGCAACCTTCCTTTGTCTACACTTACTGGGCGGAAATAAAACATTAACTTTTGGTTTTCAGCTAAAGAAAATCAGCAGACTGAAAGATCTTGGAGCCAAGACAGGAGAGAACCTCCGTTTGCCCAAAACTGTTGAGAAGGAAGTCATGGCTCTAAACTCTGGGAACAAGCTCAGAAGAATGTGGGAAAAGACACCCAAGAAGGAAAGGTAGCTCAAACTCCACAAGAGAAGATGCTCACAACGGCTAGGAGGGGATCCCAGGGGAGGCCCTACTCATCATCGTCTTCATCACTAAAGGCTTTGAGGATCTCCATGAATCAAACATGGCCTGAGGACCTTAGACCCTGTGTCCCAGAGAAGGGTGCTCTCAGTAAACACAATATACACAGGTCACCAACACAAGGAGGCACCTGGATAACACCTTGCCTAGCCACACCCCCACCCAAACCCATCCAAGGTACCCCAAAAGATCCCAAGTCTTTGACTCCCCCGCAACTTGACCAAGTGAAATATAAAACAACATCTGCACCAGGGGCGACATACCAGAGCCTTGGTTGGAACCCAAGAGAATGGAGGAGGGCGTTGTCTCTCTGGAGCCAGAAAGATCCAGGGTCTAGAAATACAAACAAACAAAAAGATGGGACCATAGAACCTCAGGAATCATGGGAGGGCTCACTACTCCCCCAACCCGACACCTGAAGAGGCCTCTACCTGGCGACTAGACAAGAATAGATGGAAGGCCACACATCTTATGCTCAGATTAAAAAGGACAGATCAAGGCATTTGAATGATGCCCCATTTATCCCTACTGTCTGGGCTCCTAGAACACTGACTGCTTCCAAAGCTCCACTCACAGACCTACCCAGTACCTGTCCAAAGAAGGTATATACTGCCCAAAATGCTACCAATTTGTTTTAATTTAATTTCATGTTAGTCTCTTAAAAGGTGACACACGATCTGTGAAGTCAATCAGGTTTTGAGTGACCATCTAATGATTTGGTCTCTTGAAATACAGTTAAATGTGTAAGCAGTGATGTAAAATAAAATAAAGCCTGTGTATTCAACTGTTATCATATACTCCACGGACAGCAAGCAGCTATGGCTCTGTGGTCCAGTGCTGTCAGGCTGGACCACAGGGGACACTTAAATCTCAAGTGGGTTTAAAATAAGCAGATCCTTATTTATTGGTCACATCAGCCAAACATCTAGTCCCCCACAGTGACAGGTGGCTGGCGGAAGGGGCATAGATTTCACCTCTGCAAAAGGTCTTAGTAGAATGCCCCTTCTCAATTTTGAGGGACCCTGCAGAACAGCTGAAGGGCTTTCCACATTCTTGCATGTCATTGGAATCTAGGGCACACTGGTCAGAAAGAGCCTAGACCGCCAGGAACAGAGAGGGTCCTGCTGCAGGGTCCTCACCGAGCTGTCCTTGCCCTTCTCTGCAGAGGTCTCCTTCTCTTTGGAGGCGCTGGTCGTTTCTGACGGCGGCGGGGCCGACTGTGCATTGGAGGAGGAGTTGCTCTGGGATGACTTATTTCCTGTGTCCGTGCTCGCCTCAGCATCTGCTTCCTGCTGAGGGGCAGTAGCTAGGGACCAATGAGAAAGAGAGCTCACGAGGATGCTTCAAGCCATGTGTGATGGTTTCAGGGTTCACTTGGAGCCCAGCTTTAAACCTGTGCCACACTTGAGAACCCCACGGCTTGGTCCTTACCGGACCTACCAAGTTCCATCCTTCCCAGCCCTCGCCTGGAGATCTGGCATGGGCCGTGGTCTCCAAAAGCCAGAGTTCCCAACTTCATTCGAAAATACATCTTTTAATATTTAGCAATTCAGATGTTAAATCATTTTGCTGAGTGAGGAGAACTTGTTCTCCAACCAAAGGAAGCTTGTGAGGAGCCAGGCTGTGACACCCCCACTCCTCAAGGGAGCCCTGGTCTTCATTTAGGCTTAGATCTGCCTCAGCCCAGCGACCTTGTTTCTGAGGAGAGTGTCAGAGACTGGCATCCTTTGAGAGGGGCACAGAGCTTCCAGGTGAATAGAAAAACGCGGAGGAATTAAAGACACAGACCTCACCATGCCACAAAGAAAGTTGAGAGATCTAAAGAAGCCACACGGAGCCACGCCCCTCCCACCAATGCACGTTGCTGAACATGGCTGAGAATACCCCAGAGTCACGTTGCCATAAACTAACCATACAACTTAAAACCAATAAAAATGCCGACAGGTGGCGGTGCCTGGCGGATCCACGATGATGACTACCCTGGCAATCCTAACAGCAAACCAGTTCCCAGCCAACCAACACTTCTTCCTTAACCTGAGAACTGGGACTGCATCCTGTTTAAGGCTGTGGATTGTTATTACCACAAAGAACAGAGGTTCTCGATGCCAGGACCACTGACTTTTGGGGCTAGATCACCTGGTCAAAAGCTCTGCCACGCCGGCTGTTGGAGGCGGCAGAGCCCGTGCCGGGTCTGACATGTAACCCCATGACTGTATCTCTTGTGTATTGGAGCTAACAGTCGTTGGCAGGCATACGTGCAAAAGCCCACCCCGCAGCCTCCCTGGCAGGCGCCCATTGGTACCTGACTGGGTACAGGACTTCATGTGCTCGGGCCAGTGGGCCTGCTGACAGGGGTAGTCGCAGTAGCTAGTGTTCCAGCAGCAGTAAAAGATGGCCTCCTTCTTGCAGTTGGCACACCACTGCTTCTTCTTGGTCTCATCTACCGCCTGCTGTTTCTCCAGCTCCAGCTGCTTCTTCACCTCGCCAATGAGTCTATCCCGCTCCTGCTCCAAGCTCTGCCGCATCTCCGCCATGGTCAGCTCTGGAGGAGGACACCAGCTACGTCACCTGACCCAGCACAGCACGCTGGGCAGCAGACACCTAGGTTCACACTGGCCCGATCTAGTGTGGTGACCCTGGGCCAGTCATTCAGCTGGGACATCATCATTCAAGTCTGATGACCTGTCACACTGTCAGTGCCTTGCCCGGTATGTAGGTAACAGGAGCCCCAGTGATGTCACCCAGAGTAACTTCAAGCTGCAGGAATTCCACAAGCTCTTCAAACAATTTCTTTCTTTTTTTTTTTGTTTTTGTTTTTGTTTTTCGAGACAGGGTTTCTCTGTGGTTTTGGAGCCTGTCCTGGAACTAGCTCTTGTAGACCAGGCTGGTCTCGAACTCACAGAGATCCTCCTGCCTCTGCCTCCCAAGTGCTGGGATTAAAGGCATGCGCCACCACCGCCCGGCAAACAATTTCAACTGATACTCATCCACTCTCTATTTTTTTCCTGTCAATCAAATACTTAGACAGCACCTACTGTGTAGGAGCAACATAGGCAGTATCATACTCCCAAGGATAAGCTCTAGCATCCTTTTTCACAGATGAGGAAACTGAGGCACAGATAATAACAAAGGCATTTGAACACAACTTGTCTTGAGACACTGAATGACCCTGCCAGGGAACAATGTGGTTGATCACTATGCTAATGGAGCAACTATCAAACCACCCATTCCTAGAAGAATCCTCTGCTTCTACTGCAGGCAGAATTAACATTTACATAGAATGTAAATGGAACTGCCCTCAATTCCTCACGAGCTCTTCTTGAATTAAAAAGACAAGAAAAGGGCCACTAAGTTGGTAAAGGCACTTATGGCCAAGATCCCTACAAGTGATCCGATCCCCACTCCCCCAGATCCCTGAGGACTGTAGCGCTGTTTGCATCTGGGCCCGGTCTCAAAGCAGCCAGTGGCTCCCGGAGCCTGGGACTCACCCAGGTTGTGCTTCATCTCGGCAAGCTCCTGCTGGTGCAGCCACTGCAGCTTCTCAATCTCGATCCTCAACCTTCGAATCTGCAGAGAGGACACAGGAGCCTAAGACGCCATCCGTGGCAGCTGGTCCCCCTCTGCCTAGCAGCCTGGCACTGAGCCCACTGCCCCACAGCTCAGGTCGTGGGTTGTGTGGTAGGAGGGAAGGGGTCACATACACACACACAAGACACACAACACAGACCCTTGAATATCCTGGTTCTGAAAGCCAAAGCAAACAGACGCCCCCCCCCCCCCCCCGCCCAACCACTTGCAAATTTTGCAAGAGGGCTCCAAAACCACAGAGAAACCCTGTCTCGAAAAAAAAAAAATTGCAAGAGGTAAAACCAAATAATAATACCAAATAATACATTAAAAATTTAATTAGCATCATGATTCTTTAAGCCACATGAAAACAGGGCTACCTGGTGCCACACCTGATGACCTGAGTTTGACCCTGGGGAGCAAATGGACCCCTCTAACCCACTTCTACCCCCACCCCGCCCCACAAGTCCCAGTGTCCCATGTATCATCCTTGACATCCCAAATCCATATCTCTGAAGACCAAAAGGATCTTGGGGAGGGATAAATTTGGGGCCACTCATTTGGAAGGGAAAAATAAACCCAAACTATGGTTGCTCTCCACCTGGGCAACCTGCCCACGCACGACAGTGATAATGCCTGGTGCCATTCTGGGTTGTCACGGTTGTGTAGCGGTGCTGACTCGGGAGGAGACAGAGAGCCAGTGGCTGCTCCACACCCTCCAACCTGCATAGGATGCCCCAGAGCCAAGGGTCCCCTGTGCCACACGCCTGAGCAACTGAGTGAACAGCCACATGTCAACACTCAGAGGAGTACAGAAGGGATGGGGGGCTGGAGGGTGTGGTCATCTTAGCACAGCCTGGGTCCTAGGTTTCAGGAAGGATGCGTGGACCAGAACATCAACCACACACAAATGGTCAAAATGAACAGAAAGGGCTGAGTGTAGTGGCCTTTAATCCAGCTCTCAGGAGGTAGAGGCAAGTTTACTTGAACTCAATGAGTTCAAGGCCAGCCAGGAATATACAGTGAAATCCTATCCCCCTGCCCCTATCCCTACCCCCTGTCACCGGGGACAGAGAGGCAATTTCTAAGGGTCCTACGTAGACAATGCACAGGCGTACCCCCATGCACCATGCCTGTTTCTTCTGAAATCTCCACTGATTTCTTCAGGGTCTCTCATAAGCCTTTATATTCGCACTGTCCCGTGTGTCGCCTTTAAGAAAACCCTGTCTCAAAGGCCAGTGTTTCTGCTTGGGATTCATTCTCACCCTGTAACTCCATGTCCAGTGGCCTCAAGTAACTCTGCTCCCTGTGTGTCACCTGATGGCTGAATACAGGCCACCAGGCCACTGCCAGCACTGTGCTGTGCACACAGATACTAGCAGGTGGTCACTCTGAGTGGCCTCTGAGGGAGGTGCAGGGATTTTTTTGAATATGAAGATGCTTCATGATCTAATTATAAGAGATGACTTTGTAAGTAACCAGTACAACTGCTTAACCACTGTCTGTCTTTGCTCATTGAGCTACGGCGCCTCTGGTGCACAAATTCTTACAAGGGAAGAGCTTGTCCTCAAGACGGGAGGTGGCGCACGCCTTTGCCTTTAATCCCAGCACTCGGATCTCCATGAGTTCGAGGCCAGTCTGGTCTACTGAGTGAGTGCCAGGGCAGCCAGAACTGCTACACAAAGAAACCTGGGGGTGGGGTTAAGGGGTCGAAAAAGGGTCAGGGGACTGGAGAAACCATAGGACTGATCACAATCACACACACACACACACACACACACACACACACACACACACACACGTCCCACTGATCTAACAGGATGCAGGCAGGAAGCAGGACTACTCTCCCTAGCCACCTGCTTAATGAACAGCCCCATCGATGCTCACAGCCAAAGAGCAAGCCATGTGCCTGGAGCCAGTGCCCCCAGAGGGGTTCCAGTCCAGTTTCCCATGGCCCCAAACTGCTCGAGCCCCAAACTGCTGGGGGTTCCCCAGGAGCCACTAACCTCAGCTATTGTGCTTCCGGTGGTGTTTTTGGAGAGATCATTGTAGATTTCTGTCATTGTCCCTTTTATGGCATCCATCATCTGAAAAGATAAAAACAGACTGTGGCTTTCGGTAGGAGACAGGAAGGCAAACGTGAAGCTAGTGATGTCTGGGGTACAGTGTTCCTCCCAGGACCTGGGCGCTTTAGTCTGCCAAGATGGCTGACAGCAGGGAGGGACTCCTAAATGACCTACTGTGTTCAGGCCAGCCCCTTGCTGAGCTGAGAATCCCTACAAACAATGTGGAAGCCATCTAGAGTCCCTTTTAGAGGCCAAACTCCACCCCCAGGTGTGTCCTATTGAGTCAACACAGCAGGTTTAAGGAAGAGACTTTTATTTTTGTTGCATGAAGTCCCTTTTTTTAAAAAAAAAAAAAACTTAAAAACAAAATTTAAAATAAATAAAAATTACAGTCCTTCTTTCTTTCTTTTAAAAAATAAGGTCAGGGCCTCATGCATCCCTCTGGTCTAGCTCACTATCACTTTGTAGCTGACGCTGAGCCCCTGACCACACCCAGTTTTTAAATTCATTAGTAGGGCTGAGTCCAGATGTTAATGCAGGACAAGCACTCTAGCAACTAAGCCACACCTCCACCCCCCAAGATCATTCTTTTAAAGTTTATTGTTGGAAGGAAGGAAGGAAGGAAGGAAGGAAGGAAGGAAGGAAGGAAGGAAGGAAGGAAGGAAGGAAGGAAGGAAGGAAACCCGGAGAAAGACTGTTCTCCACCCTTTTCACCTGCCCCTATAACTTGAACTACTTACCCACTAATTACTGAACACTCATTTCCTCATTAGTGAAAACACAAATTGTTCTTGCTCACACAGTAATTGACTAAATAGGAAAGTAGTTCTCATTAGCTATGAAATGGCCGGCAGCGATACATCCAATAAGCAGGCAACTGGCTAGCGCGCACTAGCTTGGCCCTGACGGACCAAGTACCTCCCTCCCCAGGCATCATTCCAGCCAATCACCAGTGCAGCTGGGACCCTGGGGGTCATCGTCACTTATCTACCTGCAGAGGTATCCATGATCATACAAGCCTTGGTCAGTTAAGAGGGACTGGATCAAGTTCACACACAGTGGGCAATCCTGCCGGCCAGGCCACCAGCAAGGACTGTGTCCTAGAGAGTGGATGGATGACTTGCGGGGAGGACCCAGGAAGCCCAGTCCCACCTGGTTCCTGGCACCTCACCTTGCTGGTACCACAATGAAGTCTCTCACTTTGGCTCTGCATGCCTTCTCCCAGCAAGCAGGCCCTCGGTCAGCTGTTCACAGGACAGTGTCTCACTCCGGTACTTTCACATCTGTCCTGAATGAGCAGCTGGAGATGCGGCGATACAGTGTGTCTGCATCGTAGGAACTTTAGACCCAGCCCTCTCGCAGTTAAGACTGGCCCGGTGCCCTGGCGGGGAAGTGTTTTCGCCAGGCTTCCAGGCTTTGCAAAGTTACAGAAGTCACAGGCCCTGAGGTTATATAAAACTGGGGAGAGACTTCCACAGATTCACCACCTACCGGGTGAGCGTCAGAGCCAGGGAGGTGACTTCTTCATCCTTGCCATCTTTGGAATGATGCAGCTAGGCCTGAATCACTCCCAGTCCTATTCCTAGCCCTTATAAACTCACAGGTCCACTAAGCAGGGATTGTTTCTCTGGTCTGTCATTGGTGGCCTTTTGTGGCATAAGCAGACATCTGTTCACATCTCCCCAGGAGAAGGCAAGAACTAACCTAAGGTGGGCAGGGGCACGGCAGCATAGCTGCAACCCCAGATGCTTAGCAAAGCCAGCCTCGGCTACAGAGGACCCTGTCCCAAGATAAAGAAGAACGACGCTGGGAATACAACTTGACGGTAGGATGCTTGCATGGTCTATTCTAAACCCTAGTTTGACCATTGTCAGCACACGGAAAAATAAGAAATAGATGAACTAACTCGAAACCCAAATGCAAGATCAGCCTTAGAGACCCTCCCGCCAGGCCAGCAACTTAGTCTTTGCGCAAAGCACCAAGGTCTTGGCCCCAAGAAGCCCACCACAGCCACGCACCACCCACTCACTTTGCTGGTGTACTTGGCAATATCTGCGGCCACGTCGGCTGAGGCGGTGGCGATGGGCAGGTCGGCATTGATGGCAGACGCCAGGGTGCTTGCGGAGCCGGAACTGCTGACCAGAGCTGCCGGCTGAGTGCTGGTCACCAGCGTGATGGTGGAAGTCGATGGGCTCTGGGTGACCTCCTTCTGCTGGACAGCTACAAAAGCAAAGGGTCCGGTCACCCTACCTATGTGAGGAAGCGCACCCCAGCACACAGCAGGGGTAAGAAGGGGAACTCTTCACGTGACCAATGCCAGGTTTTGAGCTACGAACGTCAATGTCTCACCTTGACCAAGCTGGAGCCAGACTCTTTGGCACTCTTTGCTCAAGTAGGCCCTAACCTTGAATTATGAAGTCTTGAGTGAATGCAAAACAAACACTGAGAGCTCAAGGCGGTACAGTTTAGGTGATTTAATCCAGCCTCGAAAAGCCAGGTTACCAAAACACACACAGGTGGACACAGCCAATGTCTGAAGATACAGGGCCACAGTCTCCCCATCTCTATGCGATGGTAAGAGTCTGGCCGCTCATGGGCAAAACCAGACCGCTTCACACACAAACCCTTCCGCTCTCATTACAATGTTTAAATTCCCTTTCTCTCAGTTGCTCCCTGCCAGCTACCCCTGCACAGGTCCTGCTGGGCTCCTTTCTCACGGGGACAGTACCGGGTTCTATTAGTTAAAGTCACTCCCCACCACTTTCACTGAGGGGAGGAATATTCCTTCACTTGTTAAAATCTCAGTCATTGACCCTTTTGGAGGTTTGCAGTTTGGGGAACTGAACCCAGGGCCTTGGGCACACTGGGTAGGCATTCTAAGTCTAAACTGCACCCATGACTTCCAAAGTCCAACAACACAGTAGTCATTAAAATCAACACTGACCACTCTATGAGGTGGCAAAACAGGATCACAGCTCGCTGAAGTCAGTCCCTGCCACTGTGGCTAGAAGTGTGGTATGCCATGGGTGATTAAAACCAATGCTTAGCCATATTGATGAACGGGCGGTGCAGGAGTGCTTTACCAGTCAAAGTGTGGCCCAGCTGACCACAAGGCCTGTGGTAGAGTCTGTTGTCCCAGACAGAGTACTGCCAATTAAAACCAGCCCTTACTAGCTGAAATAAACTTTATACCAAATCCAACACAGGACCCACTGACTATCTGAAAGCTGAGGACTGTACTGCCACCTGGTCTGAGTGCTATGCCCACCTATCCCACTGGCAGGGGCATCCTTTATAGAGACAGAATCCAACAAGGGGTGGTCCCAATCTCAAGCTGGCTCCACAAGCTTCTATGCCCAGCATCAACCTAGCTCAGGCTTTCTCCACCCAAGCAGTCGTGAATTCCTGTAGGTATCCCTGGGATGGGCCTCACACCAGTTAGGTGACGTTTTCTCACTGGAGCGAGCTTGGAGGGGGAGGGGGCGGGGCATCGGAAAAAGGGTGGGTGTGGAGGAAGTTCCTCTCCCCGAAGAAACCTAGCCCAAATTATTGCTCCCAAATCTGGGTTCACTGATGCTGTCCAGACGCACAAAATGGGTTTAGCCCATCAGCTGTAGGCCAGGGATAGGCCTCCAGCACTGAGGGGAGAGTCGGCCGTGCAGCTGTGGTTGCAGTGAGGCTTGCTCACCTTTTACACGGAACGGAGCACTAGTTTCTTTAAAGGAACCTTCGTCACCTACCCACTTCACATACTCTACAAACTGTCCCCCAAAAGGAGTAGGGGTTCATTCACACTCACAAGACATATTACACAAAGATATATTCATTGCAGCATAGCTTATACTGGGGAAAAACCTGAACACATTCTAAATGTCTACTAGCAGGGGGATGTTTTCAATAAATCCAGGAATACTATGCAGCAGTCCAAAAGAGTAAGACACAGACAGACCTCTAAAACATGCTGATGGGTGGGAGGGGAGAAAAAAAAAAATCAAGAATGGTACCATTTTTGCTTTAAAAAAAAAAAAGGAAAAGAAAGTAATATTTAATGGTATAATAGTATATGATGTAAAAACGTATGTATATGCATGCACTGGGAAAGGATATTCACAATTACTCATGATCGTCACAGAAGGGTGAGCAATGACATGGACAGTGAATGGGCCCACGTTTATCATTTAAGGTTCTACATGCGTATTCTGTCCCTCTGTAAGGAGACTTGTGTATCGTTTATAAAATGGAAAAATAAACATCTGAAATAAAACAAAAATCCAAGTGAATAGTAAATAGCAAGCCAGTTTTTTTTTTTTAAAAAAAATAATAATAATACCATATGAGATGGCTAAGGCCCGCAATGACCATGGCACACAGGAATCAGGGAAAAAAATTAAATGGGTGGTTTGTCTCCTGTTGATGTGGCAAAAAGGGGGTGGGTGCCACAGAGAACAGAAGGGGGCGAGGTACCTTTCACAGCCTGTCTGGTCTGATATCTTGTCCCCTGGGAAGAGTGAGGTTGCTGCTGCTGGCTCTGCTGTTGGCTCTGCTGCTGCTGCTGCTGTTGCTGCTGCTGCTGCTGGCGTTGTATCTTCTGCATATGCCACCTTTGGGAGGACGTTTGAAACTTACTTGATGAGTTCCACACGACCCGCTGCACGGCCGGGGCAGTCTCCTTCGGTAACAGCGGCCTCTGCTTCTTCACTGGGCTTCCTGTGACGGCGGTGGCTGGTGCGGTGACTGTGACGGTCGACATTGTGCTGGTGGTGGCGGCCACCGTGACGCCAGCCGCGGGGGCTTGGGTGGCTGAGCGGGTGAGCACTGGCGTCTCTGGGGGAGACTGGTTGCCAGCTGTGGTAGACTGTGGCGGTTTACCTATAGACGCGGCCAGGCCGGCAGGGAAACAAGCAGAAACTGGATTGGACTTATGAGCCCGGACTTCACTCCACGGGCCAGTTCTGGGTCAAACCCAGTGTAGGCAGATGACTGAAGGAATTCAGAATGCCCCTTGGAGGCCCAAGGACAAGCACACCCTCCCTCAGATCAAGGCGTGGTGAGTCTTCTAGGGGAAGAAAAGAGAGCAAGACCCAGCCCCCTTTGGAGCAATAACCCGTGGTCCAACTGTGGACAACAGGGAGAGCCCAGCCCAGGAGCAGTCCGCCAGAGAAACCCTTGGGCTAGAAAACTAACAGGGTGTGGACTCCAAAGACTAGATGGCCCTGATTGTCAACTGTAAAAAAACAATCTACTTTCATCCTAGACAAAGTCTCTGGGAGAGACATTTAACATTGGAATTCAGGGCTGGAGAGATGGCTCAGGTTAAGAGCACTGGCTGCTCTTCCAGAGGTCCTGAGTTCAATTCCCAGCAACCACATGGTGGCTCACAGCCATCTAGAATGAGATCTGGTGCCCTCTTCTGGTATACATGGAAGGAATGTTGTATAATGGAAGGAATGTTGTATACATAATAAATAAATCGCTGGGCAGTGGTGGCGCACGCCTTTAATCCCAGCACTCAGGAGGCAGAGGCAAACGGATCTCTGTGAGTTTGAGACCAGCCTGGTCTACAAGAGCTAGTTCCAGGGCAGGCTCCAAAACCACAGAGAAACCCTGGGGGTGGGGGTTGGGAACCATAATAAATAAATCTTTAAAAAAAAAAAAAAAAAAAAAAACAATGGAATTCAGCCCCAGGCCTGAGAACTTTCCCTCAACACATTCAGCCTGAACTTAAAGCCCACTTTGAGCTTGCACTGAGCTGTTTCTGCCATGGCCTTCCATGGGTAGCACACAATAGTAGATTTCCTATCCTGTAATGACTATTGACTTGACTAAGTTTAAGCTTAAACAGATTTTTTTGAAGAGTTGCTTTTAAAGCATTGTGTCAGGGGCTACGGATGCAGCTCACGGAAGGACACCAACCATCTGTGTTCACCTGGACTTAATGACATAGGTCAGGAGGTGGACAAAAACTGGGAGCAGGATGGGAGGGTCAGCACAATGGGAAGTCAGTGGAGAAGCTTCTGGAAAATGGGTCAGAGCTAGGGTTCTGAGCTCATTTACGAAGGGGACCCGGCAATAGCAGAGGTGTCGGCTTGCACTCCACTCTACCCAGGGTACTCAGAAAACACAACTAAGGTGGGGGGTTGCCATCATAGCCCATACTCCTTGGCATTTCGTGAGGATGAAGCTTGTCCTTTTAGGCTCAGGTCACCCCAAAAAACACGTAGGTTATTCCAGACAGGACCTAGAGCAGGCTTTCGGGTTCTCTGAGGAGATGGTTTCCTGTCTGGTGAGCACCGAGCTCCTCTGGAAACCAGTGTTCAGTCAAGCTGATGAGGAAGCCGCGGGGTCCAGCTGGCCCTCTTGGCTGACCTGACCTACACCACACACAGCCCGTCTGCCCTAGGTCCAGAAGCAACTCTGAACTTGGCCAGATGTAGTGCCCAGCAAGAAATCCAACATGAAGAAACTGCTACCTGTGGTGGACTGTGTTTCTGCCAGAGACATAAATGTTATTATCACTGCTACTAGCTAGCCTGGCTCACTTTTATGGGCTCAAAAAAAAAAAAAAAAAAAAAAAAAAGTCAGCTCTTCTCTCAGGTTTTTGAGGTACATCTACTTGCTAGCAGTCTCTTCCCAAAGGAAAACTGTAGCAGAGACAAGAGCTCAGGCCAAGTGTGCTCTGGGAGAGTTTCCTCAGGCTACGGCTTGGGACTATCAAGAGTACAGAAATTTCCTCAAGGGGAACAAATTTCAGGAATTTCTTCAATAGTTTCTTCAATGGGGAGAATCTGGGTGTTTGGGGTGGGGTGGTTAGATAGCTGTGGGGAATTTGTTTGTCCCTTGAGAGCCCAGAGTGCAGAATGACCACTCTAAAGAAATGCAGATTGCCTAGTAGCCCCTTTAAATGAATGAGCCAGAGGTCAGAGCTTTGCATTTATAAGGAGGAACTAATGGCCCTGTGAGGACTGAAACGCCCTCAGTGGTGGGTAGTCAGGGAGTTCCCGGGGGGTGAGCACTGGGTCTTCATCTGCCTCTACACCAACTCCGGGGTGGAAGAGTGGCTGCGGTCCAGGAAGCTCTTCACTTCAGGACCAGAACAGGGCTGTAGACTCACTGGTAGAGCCGCCTCCGACAAAGAGGATCCACCTTACATCTGTCAAGCGTGGGGCACCATGGGGACTCTGGTTTACAGAAGTAAGTTTTTAAGTCTTGGAAAGCTGTTCTGATAGTGTTTGTATCCTAGAACTGCCATTATCGGTCTTCTACCTTCCACTAAGGGTTTTCTGGGTCTACAGAAGTTTCCCCCTTTAATCCCAGCACTCGGGAGGCAGAGGCAGGCAGATCTCTGTGAGTTCGAGGCCAGCCTGGTTTACAAGAGCTAGTTCCAGGACAGGCACCAAAAACTACAGAGAAACCTTGTCTCTAAAACTCAAAAACAAACAAACAAACAAAAAACAAAAGTTTCCCTTAGACATGAAAACCAGGAATAGTTCTGCTAGAATGATTTTGATCTTTTAAAAGTATGAACTCTCTTAGAAACTATGCTTCCCTTTTTGCTTTCACTGCTAGGAAGCTCACAACCAAAATGGAAACTCTTGTTTTGTTTAAGACAGGGTCTGAGGAGCCAAGGGTGACCTTGGACTCCTAATTCTCCTGCCACTATCTCCAAGTGCTGGGATTAAAAGTTTGTATCACCAGGCCTATGTAAGTACATATTTGCATATAAAACCTTTCCCCCAAAAGCCAGGGCAGAAGGCAAGTCAATCAAAAGGTGTATTTCGGGGCTGGAAAGATGACTCAGTGGGTAAAGACACTTGCCACCACGAATAATGACATAAGTTGTTCTCTGACTCACACACACACACACACACACCTTTCAAAAAGAATGGGAGATTCTCCGGGTCACAGAGCACAATCCTCACATGGAGGAAGCTACGCCTACTGAGCAGTAACCGGTATTCTCTACCTCCTTCCCACCCCAGATAGACTTCCAAGGGCTTCAACAGGCCTAAGCATTAGCTCGAGCATGCTCTGCCTTCTCCACCTTGCTCCTCCCCAAAGGTATCTCATTCTCCCTTCCTGGGTCAGCCTTGAACTCACAGATCTGCCTGCCTCTGCCTTCCAAGTGCTGGGATTAAAGGCGCGCGCCACCACTACTGGGCTCTCTCTTCTTTGGTCAATAAATCTGTCTTGATTAAGAGCTGAGGTTCCAAGCTGCCCAGTTGGGCACCCCACAGAGAAAAGGTTCTCGGGCACAGCAAGACAACAGGGGCCACCAGGCTACAAGAATGTGGGGGAACACAGATTCATACTTTGCTCCTGGGTTACAATGAGAAATTGGCTCCTGTCAGAAACTAAGCACAGTCTAAAATGACACCTAGCTAGCTGTCCCTTAACAAAGACACCCAGCTTGGCGGCTACCCTGTAAGGTGTACTTAAGTGATGTCATTCTGGGCCCTGGCTAAATGCTGTTGTTGGAGTGTTCTGGCCACCCACCTGCCCAGCCAAAACCTTGCTGTTGCTCAAGCCCTTCTGGAGAGGTTGCCAGCATGCAGACAGCAGAGGGTGCTTGCCTATGGTGCTCATCACAATAGCAACAAGCCAGAAAAGATTCGGGCTACGGTCCTCGGGCAGAAGGTTTTGCCCACTAGGAAAAGGCATGTTTGATGGGCAAGTGCTCCTGCCATCTAGTGGCTAAAGGCCAGAGTTGCACCTAGACCACTTCCAGTGCAAAAGACAAAGAATTACTGTGAATCCCAGAGCTTGGGTACACAGAACAGACTGTCCAGTGGGTGCCAACTAAGGTCTCTTTCATTTTCAATGCCCCAAGAAGCCTTGGTACCATGACTAATGGATTCCTCTCCTAAGAAGAAAATACACATGCAGGGCACGAGAAGAAGAGAATCTGAATCTAGATCTTTCTACTGAGAGCCTTGACCGCTAAGCCCAACCAATGCAAGTAGCTCAGACAGGTTCTAAGGCCATAGGTTCAAGCAACAGCACCTTTAAAATTGGGCTTAGTGGCCTGTCACATGGGGCGGGGTAGAGGCCGAAGAATCCAAAGCTCAAGGTCATCCTTGGCTATATAATTCAAGGTCAAATTGAACTATATAAGGCTAAGATGAACTTCACAAGAAGCAGCTACGAGTGGACAGTGGGCTCTTCTGTCTTGTGTTGAGGATGGAGCAGACCCACGTGCAGGTTGTGCATGGCTCTGGCTGTACCAGCTGGGGACTGAGATACTCCCTGCCACACTGGACTTCGCAACCATGCAAACTCAAAGTGTAATATATAATAGTTCAATGGTAGAGCACTCGGCCACCACACACAAGGTCCTGAGTTCGATCCTCACACACCAACAAACACTGAACAAAAGTCACCATCTGGGGACTTTGTAGGTGACTTACCATCCTGCTTAGGTGATGGTACCTTGGGCTCCTTCTTGTTTTTGCGACCCTCCCGCCCAGAAGGATCTTCTCCTAAGTCTATGACAAGTTCACTCTCGGAGTCGGAGTCCAAGCCCAAATGCACTGTGGGGGAATCCGTGTCGTCTTTCCCCTTCAGCTTGTCCTTTGTAGGGTGAGGCGAAGGCTTTGCCTTCTCTGAGTCCTTCTCGGGCTCAGGGCTGGCCTTGTCCTTGGCTGGTGCAGGCTCGGCCTTCTCACTGGCTGGCGAGTTACTCTTCGCTTCCTCTTTGACCTCCACCGGGTTTGCGGGTTTGGGCTTTTTTTTAACGGCAGGGGCCTCTTTGTCCATCCGACTCCCCTCTTTTTCCTCAGGGTCCTCCGGCTCATTCTTGGGCTTCTGTTCCTCGTCGCTGACATACTCACTGTCGCTGCTCTCTGACTTTTCGGAGTCCTCTGAATCGCTGTGCTCCACAGCCGTGTAAACGTCCTCGGAGATCTCATTTATGCCTGAGGTAGAAAAGAAAACACAACTGAGCCATGCCATAAAGACAGGAGGGAAACACACACCTGCATTTCAAGTGGCAACACCATCTTGGTGGGGGCAACAAGGAAGAGGACTTGCGGGGTGATCAAGACCCAAAGAAAGTAAGGGGGGACCGAAGGATGGCCAGGTTTAAGTTCAGTCTACAACTCTGTGCAGAGGTATGAGGGCCCAGAGACGCCAAGCATCTAGTCACAAAGAAAATCCACTGGGAAGCAAACAAGCCCGGGATCCTGACCAAGCACTCCTATGAAGTGTGGACAGGCAGGCTTCTACCTGTGTCCAGGGCTCCAGAAGGTCAGAGCCTCAGTGTGGTAGTGTGGCGGCCACGTGCTCAGCCCATGCTCAGCCCGTCTGCCCTCACACTTCCCATCTGGGCAGCACTGGTTTGCCTGTATGCATTGTCTTTTTGCCTTTTTAAAAAAAATTAAACTTCTCTCCCCGGGTCACAAGGGAAGAATTTCCACATAGGCCTCAAGGTGGTGGCTTCTGTGCAAAGAGCACAGGAACCAGCCTTTCGGGGATGCTGGGATGTGAGGAGCAAGCAGCAGTTGGCAAGGGCAGAATCTGCTGCACCTCTTAGTGGGGGCAGGTCTCCAGATGACTGGGTGCCCAGGCCTCCGGCTGGCTCCCTGAGCTGCGCCAGAGCCTCAAGGGCTCATCTGAACGCATTGTCCCCTCTGCTCACAAAGGGGGCAAGAGGAAAGTACACCTGTGCATGTCTCCCAGCTAAGGAGACAGAACAGCAGATGTCACGAAGACCTGATGCATCCTTCCAGCTCAGGCAGGAGGTAAACAAGGACAAATAAACCCAAAAGAATGAAAAAACAATCAATTCTTCATACCACCTTCACCCCAGTGCAACGGCCCGCTCTCTGCCATGATCTGTACACATTAAAGAAAAACTCAGGAAGGACAAGGGCCATGCAGAGTCAGGACAAAGATGGGTGGTCAAGAGAATCGCTGGGGTGTGGTATCTGCCTCCCCCAGGGTCCAACAACCATGCAGACATGAGGTCTGGAATGACTACAGTCAGAGGCTTGTGCTACTGGTAGGTAAGCATTGGGGACAGGGGACAGGAGCTGTTAGCTATGGGACCTTGGGAAAATGAGCTGCTTTTAAGCCTCAGAGTTTTCATCTGTTAAGATGGAGCTGAGGATTATTATACAGCTCCCAGAATAACCCAGACTCGGCTCAGCAGAGTGTGGTAGGTCCGGGAGGGGGTTGGTAAATGAAGGACGGAAAAGGTTTTTTATAATTGTTTTTATTGCACTATACATCTTTCTCCCCTCCCTTCAGGAGGAAAATTCTTGCTAGCAATGATCGAGCTTTATGGAAGGCTGCAGGCGACACCAGAATGGCTGACCGCAGTCCCCACCTGTCAAGTGTTCTCAATGGGACCAGGACCCTAACAGGGAGAGCCATGCTGCTGGCAGGAGACACCTTAACAGGGACCCTCGTACCATCTCACTACTGAAACAGTGGTCCCCGAGAAACTGTCATTTCCCCCAGTGACTTCATGAAGGTAAGGCAGATGCCTGACACCAACCAGAGGGACTTGTGTATGGGAAAGGGATTTCACACCGTTCTGACAGCAGGCCGGGATACCTCACAAGAGCTGAGACAATGATGGGTCACTAATGGGAGGATCTTATCTTCATCAGGACTGCTTAGGTACGCAAACTTCTGACCTTCTAGTTAAACCTAAATGTCCTATCTAGGATCTCTTTTATTTGTTCCTCTTCCCGGTGCAGCCCTTCTCTGCTTGTCACTATTATTCATTTCCTTAGGAGACAGGGGTCAATCTCTCAAGAGCCAGAGATTTGATCCTAAAAAGCCTAGAACTCAGTGATATCCCCAGACAATTCTAATTACAGCTCCCTTCTCACTGAAGGACCCAGGGCACCCACTGACACCCAAGACCCCACCTCAGGATGACCCTTGCTCCTGGGGCCTACTACCCATCGCTCTTCCTCAGTCCCCCCAGATTAATTCGCTACCTCAATCAGTATTCCAGAACATAAGCTATGTATATGAAGCCTGGCTTCCATGGAGAAGGCAAATCCCTGTAAAAGGATCGCTCCATTTAGAGGCTTCCGTAGAGGGCAGGGCCCACCACCCAAGGTCCCCTCTTTGGGACAAGAAAGAAGGAAGCCAGCCAACAAAAAAAAAAAAAAAAAAATAGAGAGAGAGACTTCCAGAAGATGAGATGGGAGCCGGGCGGTGGTGGCGCACGCCTTTAATCCCAGCACTCGGGAGGCAGAGGCAGGCGGATCTCTGTTAAGTTCAAAGCCAGCCTGGTCTACAAGAGCTAGTTCCAGGACAGGCTCCAAAACCACAGAAAAACCCTGTCTCGAAAAACCAAAAAAAAAAAAGAAGAAGAAGAAGAGATGGGAGTGCACACCTGGAGGAGAGGGTTAGGCATTATAAGACTCATTCAAGAGCAATGTTGTGACATCACTGAGTTTGGGGAAAACGGGTACTTTCACTGCACCTGAGGTTCCCGGGCTACCTCAGGCAGAATTCCGAAGGCCCTCTTGGAAAACCAACTAGCAAATCTGAAATAATTCCGGCATAGAAACGCAGTGAATTACAACTAGAAAAAAGACAGAGGCCCCCAGCAGCTGGTGAGATCGCAGCAAGCCGCGCCTTCTATCCAGGTGCATCTCCGAGAGAGAATGGTGCCCACAGCGCAGGCAGGCAGGCAGGGGACGCACCTAGTTGTGCTTTGCAGCTCTCTATGGTCTTGTCCAGGTTGAGCTGGAACCGGCTTCGAATCTGCCGCTTGGGAGAGATGAGAGGGACGGGGGCCGACTGCTGGACCGACTCGCTGAGCTCCTTCAAGTCCATCTCGGCTTTGCTTCGATCTGGAAGACACCACCACATCCTCGTCAGAACAGGCACCAGGGGAACAGCAAGCATCACCAGCACTCAGGTGAGCAGGGTGGTAAGCGTGTTCTTATCATTCAACCACAACAGTATACCCAGCTGCCCAGAGACCAGGAGGGCGCAGGCGCAAGGTAACAGGAAGCACATGGCAGGCTTACTTCCTCCCCCAGAACGATTTTTGAGTCTAATCCCAGCTTGGTGGTAACACTTGTGATCTCAGCTGCATAGAGAAAGCTGCTAACAATCTATCCAATCTCAAAACAAGAGGGAAACACCTGCCTGGCCAGAGCATGGAGGCAGCTTCCCTATAGCGAGAGGCATGGCGCCCCCAGAGGACACCGTGAGCATGGATCACTGCAGTCTTTCACTCCCAGGCCAACTGAGGCTTGAACAAAGACGGGAATTAGGGGACATGCCCTTTCTAGCTCTGCTGCCAGCACCCGAGGCAGGCGGAGAGAGGCAGAGGCTGGCTCTCGTGGTACTGACCTGGGCCAAAAGGTCTTCTCAAGTAAGAACCGGAGTTCCTCGGCCTGACACTCAGTCCTGGTTACCTCAGCCAAGGGCTGGCTGTACAACCAGCTAGACCAGGTTCCTAAGGCCAGTGACTTCACTGTTTGAATTGTTTCCTACTTCTCTGCAGTGCCCAGCACTACGGAAGAGGAGAGGGGGAAGTGGAGGTGGCGGTGGAGGTTCAGAATAGAGGGAAGACCTGCAGGTGGAGCTCAAAGTCCTTCCTGGCCTGCTCCCCACACCACCCCCTCGAGCTGATTCCAGACTTGGGTCAGAATCCCATCAGCGATAGAGCCACTTCCCGCTGGCTCTGCATTTCCTTCATGCTACCACAGGGCCTCCGCTGCTATTACAGGCCATCCAGAAGGGACCAGAGAGAGCTGGACAAGAAGGGCTCTCACAAGGCCTTCTCCACCAGTTCCTCTTTGGTTCTGACCTGAGCCACCCCCTCCCCATAGCACAGCATTCTCTAACAACAGGCAGCTCCCAAAAGCCCCTGCCAACAAGAAGCCCCAAACAGCTCCAATTCATGCATCATCCCAATGAAGGACCCGCTCTGTGAGATGACCCCCCCACACACATACACACACGCGCACGTCAAGGTCCCCGAAGGAAGGGAAGGAACGGAATATTCTCATAGCAAGAGTAGATGCCACCTTTGAACGTCAAGACAAGGGGCCCGCGGGTCTGTGTGGGCACAGGTGTTCTTGAGAGCATCCAGGATTAGCTGGAATCATCTGGGAGGGATTTGGAAGGAGCAAGTCCTGCCTGCAGGTCTCCCCTTGCTTTCTGGACCTAGCATCGGTCTTTATGGCCTCCTCTACACATGTTCTTAAGAGCAAACACAGAAGGCATGCTTCAGGGGGCTTCCAGGAAGGGAGCGGTCATTTAATCTACCAGGAACGAAAAGGAAAACTACTTCCTGACACCCACTTTTGGCTCCAAGCATCTGAAGCATTCATTACCACAGGTGGCTCAGAGGAGGCTCAGGGTTGCGTGGCCCTATCTTTGGCCCTATCTTCTCTGTGAGGAGACAGCTGGCTTGACAGTATAAAAGCTCTCCTTAACTTTACCCTGAGGCAGGTGGGTTGTGAGTTCAAGGCCAGCCTGACCTACACAGCAAACAGGGCAGCCTAGACTACTGTGTGAGCCTATGTCTCAAAGACTAAACACGGTAATATTACAATGCAAAATACCCCCTGCATTTTACAAAATTAGGCTTCCCTGGCCAACAAATTATTATTATATTTATCCAAACTATTATTATTCATCTCGTGCATCAGGGCTGTGGGGGCGGTCAGGCCTAAGATCAGGCTTCTGGGGACATAAGCCAAACAATCCGGGAGTGATGGCTAGATTTGAACTCTTGCCTCTCCTTTGTGGGGTGAAAGCAGCAAGCAGTCTCCCTCATCGCAGGGATGTCCACCACTGCCCTTCTATACCGGGAGGAACTCCAGCTCCCTGCTCGCTGCCAGCATTTTAAACATTTCAGACATAAAGACAGATTCGGCTATAAATGGAAACCAGGGAGGAAAAATAGCCAGTCTAGAGACAGAAAGGCACAGTCCTCCCTGTCTGCGAGGGAGCATGAAGCCGAGCAACTTCACAGGGCAACTTGGCAACTATCTCCAAATGTCAAGCCCATGAGGCCTGTGGATTTCCCTCCCGCATGGGCAGCAATGTCTTCATCACAGCTATTTTCAGTATCAAATGGACAACAACCTCATATCTGTTCGGAAGGATGGAGGCTCCAGATTACCCACAACTGGGGTTAAGATAAACACATGCTAAAGCCAGCAGAGGCAGATTCCTATGCTGGCATTAATAGACAGCCTCTTCTGAGGAAAGGAAGCCAGGGGTACAGCCAAGGAGTGTGGGGAAGAAGGGACAGGATGGGACCGTGAATACAGACACATTGCCACTGAACAAAGGGCTCAGGAAAGTCACAGTGGTGGGGTGACTGCCCTACTGGTTCAGGAATAATAAGAACCCTAGCCCCAGCCTGACCCCCAGTCAGGGACACCCACATTCTAGAGAACAAATATTGCCTTAGAACCGAGAACCAAAGGTACAGACACAGAGGAGATGGGAAGCAGGGGAAAGGGAAGGAGAGGGAGGCGCCAGCAGCGCTACAAACACACAAGGCAGCGTCAAGAGTGCCAACCAGCTGGGCCGCTTCCCTCAGTGATGGTGAGAACAAGCAGGAGGGTCAAAAGTTCAAGGCCTGCCTTGGTTTCAGGTCAGGCCGAGCTATATGAATACCTGTCTCAAAAAAAAAAAAAAAAAAAAAAAAAAAAAAAAAAAAAAAAAAAAAAAAAAANAAAACAAAAACAAAAAAAAAAAAAAAAACAAACAAAAGGCCCAGCAAAAGAACTCAACAGTCAAAGGCACCCGCCACCAATCTGACAATCTGCATTCTGGCTCTGGGACCTGAACGGTGGAGAGAACAATTCCCCAAGCTAGCCTGGACCTCCACACCTCCACACGGGCAATGGAAAAAGAGTATGAAAGAGAAGAAACAGGGAGAGAGAGGCCCTTAATCCCAGCCCTCAAGAGACAGAAGCGGGCAGAGGTCGAGGCCAGCCAAGGCCTCAAAAAGAAAGAGACAGAAAGAAATAAAATAATGCACTCCAAATTTGGAGTCAAACCCAGGCAACTGCTGGCCTGCCTCACACTTCCCTAGGGCGGCTCTCTCCCTGAGCTCTTTTTAATAGAGACCTGCTTTGTTGGGCAATGATCTCACCATCAGCCTCCAGCGCTCGGGATCACGTGTCACACGGGCAGACAACTAATACAGCATTGCCCCTTCAACCTTCCCACCCACAGACCACAGACCGTGCTCTCCTGGATCCCCAGCAGAGCCTCGCTGTGAGACTGAGATTCCACCCCAGGAACCCAGCCGTGTACCCAATGTTCTCGCCCCCACAGGCTAAGATGAGACGTGTACCCCAGAAGGAATTATGGGGGAAGATGGGACAGAAGTCATGGCTTCCCAGGAGCCACGTTTGCACCACCCACCCATCAAGCCAAGCTTCAAAGACCCACGGTGTCGCTAGGATGCCCAGGGGCCCCCAGTTCACAGGAGGAGCTGTTCTTGCCAGGCATGACTGGCAGAGAGGAAATGTCGCCGTGAGAACGCCTCTGCTCGGCGCTTCTGTTCAGAGCATGCAGGTGGGAGGCGGCCCCGAAAAAAGAAACCACATTTCCTAGAACAAATGTCCCCGAGACAGCAAGTGGCTCCCTTCTGAATCAAGTGAGGAGCCAGCTGGGGGTTCTGGGTGGAATCTTAGAAGGACCTTGACTGTCCCCCAGTCAGGCTGCAAATGGGTGGTGACAAAGAGGATTGCCCCTGTCACCCCGGGAACCCACACCACCTATTCGGGTCTTTGTGCTACCATCTGCAACAGCACTGCAGGTGGCATGTGCCTGGAGGGTGGGGGATGCCATGAACTCACACAGTGCTGCACACAGGTGGCCTCCTTCCCCCCCAGGAAATGTTCTGTCCAAGTTCACTGGAGCATCACAAACCCCTGGAGATATTTCCTCTCAGTGCCCTCCTGCCCCCTGCTCTACCTTAACTGGTTCATACCTGCTCCAGGGGCCGAGGGCACTAGCTCCTTCTGAACACTCTAACTCCAGCTCTCAACCTCAACATCCACTGGGGCTGTGGGTCTCTGTGCCAAGGTCCTCAATAGGAATGGATACTTAGTTGCACCTCCAGCCTCCGACCACAAGGTGGCAGCATTCAATTACTCAGCAAAACATGGAAGCTTAGAGGCCCCATCAGACTATTTTATAGACTCCCCCTCCCAATCTCACATTTTGCCCCTTGCTCCCTGGGATGTATGCTGGCCACCCAGTTATATAGAAAATTAACAGCAAGCTGGGACTACAGGGGTAAATCCAATCCTCCCCTCTCTTCCCCACTCTGTCTCATACCACACCAACTGGAGCCAGGCCCAGTGGCACATGCCTATAATCAACACTTGGAGCGGTAAAGACAGGAGTCTCTTGAGATCCGGGGCAGGCCTGAGCTAGGGCAAGTTCAAGGGCAGCTGCACTACACAGTCAAACCTTGTCCCAAAAAGCCAAGGAACTGCTCAGAGGTAGATCGCTCAGCTATCACGCACAAAGAACTAGGTCTGACCTCTAACAATGCAGAGAAATAAAACAGCCAATGGAAGGCCAGTGGGAATAAAAGCCAGTAATTCAGGAGGTAAAATTAACATTATTAAAAAGCCAAGGAGTCAGAGAGATGGCTCAGGGTTAAGGGCAACAGATCCTGGTTGGGTTCCCAGCACTGACATGGCCACTTACAGCCATCTGTAACTCCAGCTCCAGGGGACCCTGATGCCTTCTGGCCTCTACAGGAACTGAGCTACCATACTCATAAGACCGTAAGCAGAAGAAGAATTAATGAAACTTATCAGAATACCTACCCAGAAATGGTAAGACTCACGAAACTTGGCGTCAGTCATGTGTATTTTAACAGGAGAAAACTGGTTTACACAGATCACTTGTAAAGACAGGCCCAGGATAATTTGTGGCAAAACACCTTTGGATGCCAACAGGCCTCTCAGGAAAACCTTCACCCTGTTCCTCCAGCTCACCCCTCGCCTCTGATTCACCGAAGCTATTACACTTCAATGGCCAAGAACCACTCACAGGAGGGCAAAGTGTAGAAGCAGTCACTGCCACCAAACACACACACACACGCCACTGACCCAGGTTCAGGTTCAGGATGCTCCCGGTGGTAGACGTCTTGTCTGTCTTCGTCATGATGGGCGTCGGTGCCGGTGCTTGCGGAGAGAAAGGCTTCGGGCTGCCAGACAGACTCCCTGCTTGCCCCGTTTTTGTGGAGGCTGGGGAAGCTGGAAAAGCATGTCATGGTTAGAAGCCAGCTTCACAAATAGGTAAAGCAGCAAAGCTCACAGGTTCTGGGCTGAGGGCAGGAGAGAAGGCACAAGGTGTTCTTCAAGGGTGTCCTGGGTAAGATCCAGTAGGGAGAGTCACCATGAACTGCCAGCAAAGGGCTGTCACCAAACAACAGGGTGACTGAGCCAGGCAGCCTATTAAACACAAAGCAGCTAAATTACCCCTGAAATGCCTTGGCCCATTGATGGGTATAAATCTCAGTGACCAGGGCAAGCCCCTCACCAAGACCACAGGTCAGGACCAGGCATTAGAGGGAATTTGAGGGGCTACCCAGCAGTCTACATGTGCCACTGGCCAAGCCCTAGGGAGTTCTAGCCCCTGGCTCAAGGTTTCTGAGGATGCACAAAAGAAAGTTGAGTACCAGATGATGGGAGGAAGAGAGGTATTGGCAAATTCTCCTCTTCCTTGTGCGGCTCAAATTCCTACAGGAAGGACAGACCCTGAACCAAACGTCTGAGACTTTTAAACTTACTTTCAAATGGTTTCCTTCTTCTTCTTCTTCTTTTTTTTTTTTTTTTTTTTTTTTTT